GAGTGGTTCCGATATCTCAATGGAGGTTCATCCTTGGTTTAAAAAAAAAAAAAAAATTACCATTTTTTTAAATATCTTATGAGTGATATTAATAATGGAGGAGGTCCTACATGTGTAGGGAATAGAGGTATGTGAGAAGTCTTTGTATTTTCCCCTCGATTTTATTGTAAACCTAAAACTGCTCTAAAAACTTAAGTTTAAAAAAAAAAAGAGGTAAGTGGCTTCTTCATTATAGTCTCATTCTTTATGCATATTATTAAGAATAACCAAGATAACTAAAATTTATTGAGTGATTACTATGTGTCAGATATTATTTACCTGCTTTCTATATATTAACTCATTTAACCCTCAAAATCATCCTGACACGGGTGCTATTATTATCACCATTTTACACATTAGGAAACTAAATCACAGAATGAACTTGAAAGGCCATATACCTAGAAAGTAACAGTGGTAAGACTTGAACCTATGTAGTCCAGCTCATCACCATTATATTACACGATAGGCCCCATGCACAAAATTTGTGCGCTCAGGAGGATGTCCCTCAGTCCGGCCTGCACCCTCTCTAAGTTGGGGTCCTCAGGAATGTCCCTGTAGGGAGTGGGCCTAAGCTAGCGCTGCCACAGAGGCCGCTGCTGCACTCGCCAGCTGTGAGCCCAGCTTCTGCCTGAGCAGTGCTCACCCTGTGGGAGTGCCCTGACCACCAGGGGGCATCATAGCAACCGATTGTTCCACTGTTCGGTCAATTTGCAAAATTGGCTTTCATTATATAGGATTGCTTTTAGTTATTCATTCTTTCAAACATCCATTAATTAATCTTTTTTAAAGTTTTATTCCTTGCTCCCTCCTAACTTTTATTTTATTTTTTTGTTAATCCTCACTTGAGGATATTTTTCCATTGACTTTTAGAAGAAGGGAGGGAAGGAGGGAGAGAGGGAGAAAAAGGGAGGAGGAGAGATAGCCAGTGGGGGAGGGGGAGGGAAGAAGAGAAAGATGCAGAAATATCAATGTGAGAGAGACACATCAATTGGTTTCCTCCTGCACACACCCAACCAGAGCCAGGGATCAAACCTGCAACCTAGGTATGTGTCCTTGACCTGGAATCAAACCTGAGACTCTGGTGCATTGCTCTACCGGCAGGGCATTTTTTTATTTATTTTTTATTTTTTAGCATTTGGAACATGCCAAAACTCTGATGGAAACATTTTCAACAGGGAAGATCTCAAAACATTTACTTTCTCAGGTAGTTATTGGAGGAAATACTACATCAAAGCTAGGAAATGAATAAGGGAGGGAGATACTCCATCAAAACATAGAAATAAACAGTAAGAAATAAAGACCTGGGATCAGAAAACAGAAGAATCCAGAAGAAAGGAGAAGAGAATTCGCAGGACAGGATGACATCTATGCAACAGGTATGGAGAGTAGCCACTCTAGATTATACATGAAGAGGAAAGAGGTTTTCAGAAGGAACATTGCTAAGAAATATATGGTCTTGAGTTCCTAATGTGTTTGTACACAGAAGACCTCTATTGGGCAATCTGAGGAAAAAATTAATGGCAGAAACATAGAAAATATAAAAACAAAAAAAGAGGCAATTATTAACCTTGAGAATAAGACAAAATGTTGTACCTGGCATGCAGATTGTATTTTTCATAACTATATAATTGTTCATTCTCTTCCCACCCTCGCTTTTCTTCTCTATAATCAAAGCAGACTTCCTACCATACTGCCCTGGGGCTTGCCCTTGTATCTAGTCTTGGCCAAAGGAATCTGAGTAGATGTGACATGTGCCTCATCCAAGCAAAATCTTTCAATATATTTGAGGGATCTGGTCTTTCTGCTTTTAGTTTCTCCTCCTAACTATTAAGATTGGATCTCAGAATGAGAAAATACACAACATCAAGATGAGCCGGGTCCGGTTTGGCTCAATGGATAGAGCGTCGGCTTGGGGACTGAAGGGTCCCGGGTTCGATTCCGGTCAAGGGCATGTACCTTGGTTGCGGGCATATCCCCAGTAGGGGGTGTGCAAGAGGCAGCTGATCGATGACTCTCTCTCATCGATGTTTCTAACTCTGTATCTCTCTCCCTTCCTCTCTGTAAAAAATCAATAAAATATATTAAAAAAAAAAAAAAAAAAAGATGAACTGATCCCAAACAAGGCTATCAAAACCCAGTAGAGCCTCAAGTGACCCCAAAACCCTTTTGAGATAGAAAAAAAAGGAAAGAAATATTTTTATTAGCCAATGAAATTTGGGGTTGTTTTTGCTATAGCAAAAGCTAACACATATAGTACAATCCACAGCTCAACAATGGACAATATTTATGTAGTTATAATTAATTATATTACACTAGAGGCCTGGTGCAGGAAAACTCATGCACCGGGGGTGGGGAGGAGAGGGAGAGTGTCCCTCAGCCTGGCCTGCACCCTCTCACAGTCTGGGACCCCTCGGGGGATGTCCACCTGCCAGCTTAGGCCCACTCCCAGAAGGAATGGGCCTAAGCTGGCAGTCAGACATCCTTCTGGCAGCCCCGGAGCCCCTGGCAGTGGGGAGTGGGCCTAAGCTGCAGTCAGATATCCTTAGTGCTGCTGAGGAGATGTGAGAGGCCACCACCACTGCTGCTGTGCTTGCAACGGTCAGCTCGGCTTGTGGCTGAGCGGAGCTCCCCTGTGGGAGCGCATTGACCACCAGGGCACAGCTCTTGCATTGAGCAGTGCATGTCATAGCGACTAGTTGTCCCTGGGTCATTCAGTTGTTAGGGTCAATTTGCATATTACACTTTTATTACATAGGATTATTTAGGTAAGCTGCAAAAGAAACAACTGAAAGAATGGAAAATTTTTGCCTCAAGGGAGCTGGAATCAAATGTGAGAAGGATGCAGGTAAGGGAGTACCTTTTTTTTGTTGTTGTTCAAGACATAATTTGATATTCTTTGAATTATCCACATATGTTAATTTTATAAAAAATTCTTAACTCAGGAGCACAAAAATAAGACAATAAAGTCAAGGGAAATAATCATATCTGATTCCTTAAAAGTATTCTGATCCTAAAAAGCAAAAGACCTCTAGCTGGAATCATGACCTAGTTTTATTATTTCACAATCTAGCATCTACTTTTCTATAGCTACTTTTCTTGACTGTTTCAATACTTGGGAGAAAACAAACAATATTACTGGTTCCCCTTTACTGTAGAACTAGAAGCCCAGTGTACGAATTTGTGCACCTTAAAAGGAACTGTGGGCCATGAAGTTGTGGTGAGCACAGGGGTGGGTCTCAGCCCATCCTCCATGTCCTGCCCAGCCTCTCCCACTGTGGCCTCCAGTCCCCCGTCTTCCTGTAGCCCCACTCCTGCTGCCGCCAGATGCTGGCAGCTGGTGCAAGTGGGGCCAGCACTGACAGCAGGTGCGAGCACCCAGTAGGACCATGGCGTGTGGGAGCAAAGAATTTTCAGTAACCACCAGAGGCTCGCCCCAATGACAGTGAACAGCACCCCGCCTTAGTCTGGCACTCCCACTCACCTGCTCCACCCTCCCGCTGCAGCCAACCTTATTCATGTTCCACACTCTGCTGCCTGCTGTTGATGCTTACCATGTACTGGGTGCGCACCCTGGTGGTCAGTGCACATCATTGCGACAGCTGTTCAGACATTCCGCCCTTCGGTCTATTTGCATATTAGCCTTTTATTGTATAGGATTATAGCCTTACATTTTCAGATCTAGATGTCACTGACAATATGTTACAGGAGAGATGTTGCCTAAAGTGAGGTAATATCGAGTGGGGCAGAAGTAGGTTTACAGTTGTTCATATGGAAATTAATAAAAGAATAAACTCTTTTGTGTAATCACAACTGTAAACCTACTTTTGCCTCACCCAGTATTAAGGGCTTACCTATACAGAGAGCTGTCAATTAATACATAGTTGATCATTTATCTACTCTACATATTATCTATGATCACTGCATACCCTTTTCCTAACAATTGCCACCTGTTGGTCATTTCAATCAGCTTTCACTGTATTACCAAAGATGAGAAAAGTAATTAAAAGTGAACTGAAGTTTGCTTCTTTTTTAACAACTAAAAAAAGGGACAATTTAAGCTCAATAAATAGTATTATTCACAAACAAATGTACTTAAGAATATATTTTACAAAATACATTTAAATAGTGGGCTCACATTTAAATGATTGGATTTATCAAAATTCTGAGTTTTCTAGAGTAAAGGACAATATACCACGTAAGATATAATGATAGAGAACACTAAAGCTATTTATAGTATTTCTTTATACACACATACTCATGCGCGCACGCGCGTATTTTTAATTGATTTTAGAGAGGAACGAGAGGGGGAGATAGAAATATCAATGAGAGAGGATCACTGATTGGCCACCTCCTGTACATCCCACACCAGGGATCGAGCACGCAGTCCACATGTACCCCGACCTAGAATTGAACCCTAACTTCCTACTTCATAGGTTGATGTTCAACCACTGAGCCCCACCAGCTGGGCTAAATATTTTTATACTAGAGGTCTGATGCATGAAATTCATGCAAGAGTAAGCCTTCCTTACCCTGGCTGCTGGCACCGGCTTCCCTCTGGCACCTGGGAACCAGGCTTCCCTATGGTCTCTGGCAGTCACCTGAGACCCAGGCTTCCCTCACAGCCCTGCTTCATTCAGAAGGTTGACCATAATATTATGCTTTTATTATTATAGATTTCCTATAGATCTTATGTTAATAGTCTTCCCTTTATAATAAACAAATATGAATAATTTGAGTACAAGTTTCACCTAGTAACTTCTGTATCATAGACAGAAATATGATGAGAACAGACACAAAAAGTATCTTCACTGGTGTCAACCATCTCATTTAGATATTCTGACATTCTCTTAACCATACTGTACTTTGAGTTGTATTATAGTTCACAGGCCTGCATTTAGAAAAAACCACTGGGGCAGAACAAGAAAGCATAAGAATATAATCACAGGACATGTTTTTCATACCTCTTCATCTTTCATATTCACATCCACATTTTTTGATTTGATGACTTTGGATATATGATCAATGTTGTTTTCTCTGCAGTAATCAAATATGTTTTTGTCTTCTTCCCTAATGAAAGTAAAAATAATAAGGCACATTTTTAACGCAACCTGATTGCTGTTGACAAACATTAACAAAATCTGTTTTTATAAAGGATTTTACACGAACAATATGGATTTTCAATAAGACATAATACATCCAACCTCTGAAAAAGACAAAAGTTCTTATCTATATATATATATATATATAAAACCCTAAGCGAATGGTCAACCATTCGACCATTTGACCTGTCATTATGACGTGCACTGACCACCAGGGGGCAGATACTCAATGCAGGAGCTTCCCCCTGGTAGTCAGGGCACTCCCACAGTGGGAGTGATGCTCAGTGAGCTTACCGAGTGCCTATAGTGGCAGGCACAGTGGTGCCTGGATGAGTGGGAGTGGCGCCGTGACCTGCCTGGGCTTGGGCTCCTCCCTGGCCACCTGCAAGTTCGAGCACTATTACATCCCCCAAAGGGTCCCCCATTGCAAGAGGACACAGGCCAGGCTGAGGGAATCCGTGCACCAGGCCTCTAGTCAGCTATAATTTAAGGAAAAGCTTCACTGCTTTAACAAGTCACACCAGCACAATAACGTAACAACTTCAGTAGATTATCTCAGTATTCTTTTCCTCCTCCAGTTACTTTCACGCACTGACAGGCACATACTTTCTTTGTCTTAGAATTTTCCATTGTAGTACTGAGATAAGAAGCACTGTAATCTCTGTATGGAGGCACCAAAAGATCAGAATACAGCTTACTGCTTGTTTTATAGGACAACAGAATGACAAGTTGATTGTTACTCAAATTACACACACACACACACACACACACACACAGACATGCACACAAATAATTTTCTTTAGTGAAAGATAATTAAGAGCATCGTAAAATTCAGAAATCCTACATGAGTTAATAGAAACAAAATCTGAGAAGCATACTAGGAACCCAACACCATTCTAAGTATATTGATATACTGAATTCATTTACTCTTATCCAACAACTTCAGAAAGAACAACTAAGAGATTACATGATCTTCCAAAAGGCATCAAATTTATCAAAGGTAGAACAAGAAAGCTAGAACTCACTCAGATCAATTGATTTTATATATAGTACATTTTTCTATTATATCTAGATACATCTTGACTAGTCAACTATAATCTATCCTAGACACAAAAGCAGTTCCTAACAGGAGGTCTTTGAGTTCTCTAAAATAGGATACAGAACTATCTCTGTAAATGCATGTGCATTTTTCTGAATACGTGTGTTGTGTGTTTCTGTGTGGGGGTGGAGGTGGGGTTGGAGGAGGGTAGCTTCAATGAGATTCTCAAAAGGATAATCCTTGGGAATATTAACAATGAAACTGTTTCCTATGTGGACTACATTTTCTGCACAGGCTAAAAAGAATGCAATTTGAGCTCTAAAAACTAGTGCTTTATAATCTCAAGACTACGTTTCCATTCATCAGAAATTAAAGCACCTAGCCACAGGAGTCCTCCTATTTTAAAAGCCAATTTAAATACTTTATACCCTATAAAAATTCTTTTCAGTCAGAGGTAATTACATTAAAATACACTACTTTGGCCTTATTTAACTAAGTTTTCCTTATGCATTTGTTGTATTCAATTGATCACTTACTACAAGCAAGGCACTGGGCAAGATTCTATTGATAACAGGTAACAAGGATAAGCAAAAAGCTTTGCATTCAATATATGCACAGTAGAGTTGAGATGATAATATCGATACATCAGTAACACTGGGTATAACTGGATCTTTAGAAAGGCCTAAAAAAGTACAGAGGAGAAACAGTCTGCCTCAAGCTGGAAAAAATGAGATACATGTGCAGGAAGAAATCTTGTTTAAAAGCAATACAGAGGTGTTTGGAGAAGTCTGAAAGGAGAAGTCTGGTTTTAAAAATTAAGGTTGCAAATGGTACCACTTTAGCTATATTTAACTACGACAAAAAAACAAACAAACAAACAGAACCACACAAACAAAAAAAACCTCCAAAGTTTCTAAGAAAACGTGTGTTCAGAATACCAACTTGGTAATAATAGGGACCTATTTTCCTCCAGTCCAGTAACAGAGACCCCTCTAATTCAGAGGCAGCAACTTCAACTGTGAGAGAAAGAGCTGAGTCATTTTAAGTCATCATACAAAATATACTAGTTACTAATTGTTTTGAATTTTAAAATAAAGAGGAGCTGGTGGTGGGGCACAGAAAGGAAAGTAAGAAGGACCCTTGGGATGTCAGTTACTCATACCCAATAACATATAAGTGCTATTCATAGATAAAAGGACCTTCTGCATGGTCTCTCTTCTTGAATCCCAATTGTGCATGTATACTTATGCTTAAACAGTGTAAAAGAGTAAATATAGTACGAACATATTCATATTTTTATTTTGCTTAATATGTTGTCAATGTTCCTTATGTAAATCAAATATTCTGATTTGGTATAGAATTTTTGGAGGGCAGAGGCAGTTTTTCATCTGAATACCTGCTTATTGTCTGTACTTTATCATTGCTAAATATGTCAGACACACAGAAGTATTTAAAAAAATATTTCAGGGTAGAGTACACAATGTAAATTAAGTATCAAAAAGAAATTCAATAAAATCACCAAAAATGATACAAAGTTGAATGACTAGTATTTTTAAAAAATTAAGTGATAAAGCTTGGGCTTAGTTGTTGAATAGTTCTCTATCCTCCCTCCAAGTCTGACTTCTCTTACTTGCCAGCAAACAAGCTGTCAATACAATGTCACCACCTAGTGGCCAAAATGGAGAAACATCGGGAGCACTATCTTTCCACATCTCCTTCCTTTCTTGCCCCTAACAAGATTATGTACAATATACAAATCAAATTCTCTTTCCCCTTTACATTTCCCTGTCAATACAATCTCCCAGAGGCAAACTCTCCTTCTGCATCCATACTTAAAGGAAACATATGCAAGTGATTCCAACCATTACCAAATACAGTAGAGCCTTAATACATGTTAGTGCCCTTCTACATATTCTCAACTTATCTTCCTTTCTCTTATATTTCTTACTCAGTTATTGTCCTCCCACTTTCAATATAAGAAATAAAGTTATCAAATCTGTTCTTTATGAATGAGTATAAGTTATGTTTGTGACTACTTTCAAGGATGTAGTCCCTCCCACATTATCCCTAGCACAAGACAGAATGTCTCTCTTTGATTACTCCAAATTTCCCAAAAATGACAGAAAATATATTTGTATATTTGAAGGAAAAAAAAAAATCACTGGCTTTCTTTGAAAAATAAAGGCACACCCTTATGAGAAAGAGGGATGGTGTTTAAGTATGGCCATCTTTCATCTACCACATCTTTCATGGCCTAAAACCTTGCCCATTCCTAAATATGCTATCTGTACCACAGTATCCCAGTAAACAGACAATGGAAAATTATTTATTGAATAAAAACACAAAGAAGAGTAAGCCAATATCCACACAAACAGGTATAGACAAATGCTCCCAATTCCTCAAACTAAGGGATGTATATCTGTGGGCTCTGGAGGTATAGAAAGACCTTTAAAGGGATATGTAGGTATGGAAAATTTTATGTGAATCTATTTTCAGCTCCATTTCTATATAAATGCACTCTTTCCTAAACTGATCTACCTGAAAAGGCTCTTGAGGTAAAGATTTTATCACCATTCTCCTTTCAACATTCCCTCTGCTTAGTCACTATTCCTCACCCCTCGTTTATAAAAGAAAGGCCCATACCTCTCTCCTTACTATGGTCTACTTCTAGGAAGTATAACCGAAAGACTGTACTAAGAATTAGTAAACTACTATTAATTAAACTTGTTATTCTTTTGCATAAAAATACTGTTTAACATACTAGGAACGGTTTTGGGGGGGATATCAACTCTAGGTTATACTGCCTCAGGATATAAAATCTTCCATGGTACCAAATAAAGGGACAATTTTGGTAAAACTTTGGTGTTGGGAAGCCCTTTATAACTAATATTATAGGATGAAGAAAAGTAAAAACAAAAAACTAACTTGGTATTAAACCCTGTCTCATTCTATTATAAATAATATTCATCTGTTAAACTACATATTTTTAAAAACTTATCTCATTGATGAATTTTCAATAAAAGTTACCTTATGATTAATAATTATTTAACAAGATTTATTATGTATGTTGATCAACTGTATAGAAATAATTGTAACTCAAATGAGAAAATAGTTAAAGCTTTAAAGCTTTGGGGTAACAAAAATTTAAATTTAATCATATACATATTTTTGTTGCAGAGAAGAATTATGAGTGTGATAAGGTTACACGAAATATATTACTTTGAAATAAAATTATGTGAGAGAAGTAGAAATGATGTACAATTTCTGTTAAAGAACTTGTTCATGTATTTTTAAGTCAAGATCAGAATTGTATTTAGTTAAACTTTATTTTGAGGTCATTGAAGATTCGCATGCAGTTGTAAGAAATAATAGATCTTTGGACCATTTTCCCAGTTTCTCTCAATGGTAACATGTTCTTTTATTTAAAAAAAAAAAAAAAAAGGAGGGGGGATTATTATTATTATAGCACTTAGATTCCATTGGATATATCTAAAAAATGATGTTTATTTTACATTTTCATTATTTACAAAACGCCAGAGATTTTGCCCTTGAAAATTATTTAAGTTTTTAAGTAATTTTTTTAGATATCTTAAAAAAGTAAAAGTAGATATCTTAAAAAAGTACATCAGCAAGAAAGTTTTTTGAGTACCAATATTTTAGAAAGCAGAGGCCGAAAGCAAGGTGCAGGCTAATCAAGAATGATCAAAGAAAGCTCTATAGGAGAGTTGACATGACAACCTAGCTTTGAAGGATGAGATGACAGCACAAGTGGGTAACTGAAAGATTCCGAAGAAAAGAAAGAAAAGTATCATCAAAATGAAATGTTCAGGGGAACCTCAAGCACTTGGCTAGGGTCGAGTATTGGGAGATAAGGTTAGAGGGATACGCTGAACATAGATCCCAAAGAGCAGTGGCACACTCGCTGCATA